GGATATGGAGAAAGAATAATAAGACTGCTTCTCAATGAGCGAGGAGAGGAGTTCAAGATCACTCCGGATGTGGTGCTAGCAGCMGCAGGCAATGATGGATATGGAGAAAGAATAATRAGACTGCTTCTCAATGAGCGAGGAGAGGAGTTTCAGATTACTGAAGATGTGGTACGGGTAGCAGCATCGAATGAGGGATGTGGTGAAGCAGTGATGAAACTACTTCTCACAGAACGAGGAGAAGAATTCCGGATCACTCAATCTGTAGTACAGGCAGCAGCAGGCAATGATAGATATGGAGAAAGAATAATGAGACTGCTTCTCAATGAGCGAGGAGAGGAGTTCAAGATTACCCCAGATGTACTGGAGGCAGCAGCAGGAAATGAACGACGTGGCAAAAAGGTGATCACGCTGCTTCTTGATGAACGAGAGGAAGAGATGCAGATTACATCAGACGTGATCAGAGCAGCAATTCGTAACCAGGAAAGTGGAGAGCAAATAATTAGGCTCTTTCTCGAGCGCCAAGACTGGCAAATCCAGTCGATTTCATGTAAGGTTCAGGTCATTGCTAGGTTACTCGACGAGAAAGCAATGAGACATTTTATTGGTGAACAAGAGGTGGATGTTTCAACAGACTTACTCGAGGCAGCGGCAGGAAATTCAAGAAGTGCAAGGGAGATAATGGATTTCCTTCTCAGTGAGATAGGAAATGAACACAAGATTACACCAGATGTGATTAAACTAGCAGCACGAAATCGAGGATGTGGTCCAAATGTGATGAGGATCCTCCTTGAGCAACGAGGAGACAATATCAAGATTACGCCAGATGTATTGATGGCAGCTGCAGGAAACCGAGGTAGTGGCCCCGAAGTGATGATGCTCCTGCTCAATAAACGAGGAGAGGAAATCAGAATTACGTCAGACGTTGTAAAGGCGGTAGCAGCTAACTTGGAAAGCGGCGAGAAGGTGATGCGGCTCCTTATGCTGCTACGTCGAGAGGAAATCGAGATCACACAAGACGTGCTGCGGGCGTGGAATGGAGATAATGGGGAGATATATAAAATTTTAGGTGGTTTACTCCGGGTTGAAAACAGAATGCTTATATAATCGTCTTCTATGCCATGCACCCTATGATGGGATATTCGTGTGTCCAGCGAAATATTTGTTTCTCGTTTCTGAATATCTCACAGCTGCTTCTTTTCATGCCGTTTATAGTTACTAATTTCAGAAGCTTGCTCATCTGCCAGTGGAGGTCCACAGGCCCACAGTCCCCCCTACCCTAGGCCTGTTAGAAAACTCTGTGCCCGAATCTACACACGGCTGTTTTTATCTGCGATCGTTGTACCCAAAGATTTTCTTCTCGGAATTACAGATACATGTTTCATGAGATATCTCAATTGTTTCGATCGACCATGGTATCGGGCGCGAACAATGGAGATTATACAAAGAAGAACCTGATGGACCTTCCAGCTGAAGTATTACAGCTAGAAAACGTATGAAGCCTCTCTTCACACAGTCAGACTCCATATTGATGATGGTTTAGCTGGAATCATTGCTGGGAAGAAGGGGGGGGGGNGGGGGGGTGGGTTATGGGCACTCTCATGCTTCACAAACGCTGCGAGCTCACGTAATTCGGCCACTCTTCCGAGACACTGATCAGGTTCCAGAAGGATGTCCCAGTATCTCTGAACAGCAGGAAGTAGCAGATCTACCTTTCATTGGCCAGAATCGAACATAATATGACCTGTCGCATCATACCTGACCATTGACAAAGCAAACGAGTGTAGTAGAAAAGTTTGAGTAAGATGTAGCCTCATCGAGCTCATTGAGAGCATCCGAGCGCATCTTCATATCTCACGAAATTTGTTACATGATCAAATTGCAACTTTGATTTGACAGAATTTGTTGTTTGCTCGTACGTTGTAACGTGAACTAACCCGCAATTCATTAGGCAGCGCACTAAGTCGTAGTCCAACCTTGGGTCTCCACGTGGAAGTGGCAAAAAGAGACAAGGAAAGAGAAATTGGCCCAACGCAAATAACCATTGATCAGGCAGAACCTCCGCAAAAGTGGAAGCAATGCCAAAGCGTAAGCGTAGAATGTACTTCAGCCTGTCTCATACTCATACAGAAATCATATTTTTGACATGAAGTCGATTTCAGCTACTGCGCCTGGTGGAGACGAGTGGCGGGAAGGTTCACAAATCCATATCCATGAGATTACATGATCCATCCACCCCTTGTGTCCTTATTCCACCCATTCCATGGGAAATCGAATGGCAGGTTATTCACAAAAATCGATCACTGTGAGGCCTGACTCAAACCGGATGCAATCTTGCCTAGGATCAAAACAACTTCACCATCATGGACTTCCGCACGCAAAGAGCTGTCAATGGATGGTAGACAGATGGTAAGAAGAGTATTGTCTTCACTTTTCAGTGTGACATGACAGCATTGACATAGTGCTTTCTGCTGTACATTGGCTGGTCCTGCACCTCTTTCCTTTAGCTTACTTCATAAATCAGGTGCACAGTTCCTCACTTTTTGCTTCTCTCAGCTGCTGTTCGAGGGTCTCGTACAAGTCTACCAGGAACCGCTGATATTCTTCGACCGAACAATGCGCATTCATGATGTGGGCTTCGTAAGGGTGGATCGATTGTAATCAATGCCTGTCTCCTGTCCGCTGATGTTGTCAGATGGACGGAAGCTACACGATATATATGTGGAAACTTTTAGTTGATTGACCATGAAACATGAACAGAATTGACAAACTAAGCGAGTTCGTCGCCATAGAGCTCTATTTCACATATAGAGCTTAAAGTTCCCAGCAACCACACATACTCTCCGAGCGTCTGAGACATTTCTCTTTAAGTCGTTTGCCTCAGTCGTTTGTTTATGCAAGTAGCCTATCGGTTTCATTCCCCCCGTCATCTTCGGTACGGTAAGGATAACGCGGCTGCAAGCCGCCGCTGTGTATAGTGTACTCAAATACGGTCATGAGCGAGATATACGGAATCCACCCACATTGCAATACTGCAAGCGCTACGCTGTGCCTCTGGATGGGTACAGACATCGTGATCCGCGATAGCCATTTTCCGGTGTTTGACGCACCAGTCGAAGTGTTCGTTCTGGAAACACTTGCCTGAAATTTGTTGTTTGCACTTAGGACTTGGTTTATCAGCCATCGCATCAGCTAGATTGGGTTTAAAGCTTACCATTTGATTTCATAAGTCACACGATCAATCTCTGTAATGATTTTCTGTAAAGAACTGGTCGTCATGATCCATGATTTGCATCTTATGTGATTTTTCTATCGAGTGTGGCATGATAAAGGAAACGCCAGATTGTGATCGGAGGATGTGTGAATAAAAGTCTGTTTGGGTCGCTGCAGGTGCAGCTGTTCTGATATACCTTATACAGTCATTCCGGGAATAACCAGCTGATGGGCTATTCCCATCGAGTGGGGCAGTCTTGCAAATGTTCAACAATGCAACGTGCCCTGATTGGGCATTGTGGGTCAGAACAAACAAAGAAAATAAGCTACTAAACTCAGAACGATCGAAAATATTATGCAAGCTGATATCAGTGCTCACATCCTAATTGCCGAAACCGGCAATATAGTGCGAACAAAGACTACACAGTAGGTTTACGCTGCCTGACTCCAAGAACGGACCCGCGGGGTCTGGGCTGTGACACCCATTTCCGTGGTTAGACTATGCCAGCTTGCACACTACCTAGACATTACGCTCCGGAGCGGCCCCTTCGAACCATGGATTTCAGGTCAAGTAGGTACATAGAAGTCAATTCGAAGTTGGTAAGAATAAATCTATCAAATAGAGCAATTTTTCAGCGGAGAGATTCGCTTCACGGGGTTTGGATGACACCTTGTTGCAATGCATGAGGACAGGAGACGTGAAGCATTGAGGTTGTTATACATATAGAGAAGTGCCACCAGATTTATTCAGAATGAATGAAGGGAGAGTTTAATAATTGTCGGCAAGCGGTCTGTAGCGACACCTCAAGCGACGAAAGGTCAAAAATTGGCAGAGGTGACGACTTATTCATGAATCCTACCTGAGAACTCTCGTAGTCAAGAATCAATACCCCCAGTTGCGCCCACCAAGTACCAAAAGAATATTCATGGTTTGACTCTGTGGAGTTGTCTCCTGTGGCTATCGTAATACATGTGGTACCGGTAATATCGCGCTGATATGGCATATAAGTACTCGGAATCGTAAACGTGCCATTGCCAAGGCGGAAGGTGAAGTCAGGCAGGGTTGTATTGCATGGATAGCGATATGTATTGTCTGCCGCAGACCAAGTAGCGTCGATTCCCGTAAAATACCAGTCTAAGAGCTTCTGCGGCCAAACGAATGACTGTTCTTGAGTCGAAATAGTTGCAGACCACGTCGAAATTGGAGGCGTCCCCATCTTACCGGCCGATATTGCAGTGATATTGACACTCCATGTGGGTTGATTATCATTCCGTGTCACCCACGCGATATCAGCGGCATTGCCTAAATTATTAGGGAGTCCTAAAGTCCACGTGCCATTGTTCCTTTCACGGAACAAGTCAATGGAACGTTTCCATTCTATGTTGATTATCAATCCACAGTCATCTAGGCTTTTAATCTGAAACTCACCTGTCACTTGATCGCTGATCGCAGACATAAAACCAGCTTGTCCAGAAGCCTGCAACGGGTTTACGTTGAAACCAATAACACCACTTGCTCCACCAAAAGGCAGACTCTGACCACTATTCATAAGATCATAATCGTGGAGCTGGCCAAAGCCAATATCGGGATAAAGTMCCCCGCCAACATTGAAAGTCTCAGTCCCAGGATTCGCCCAAGCCACAACGCCATCCCCGAACTGGTACTCTTGGATAGGGAGATCATAGTTGTCTTGTCGGACAATCAGCACGCACGACGTGGATGCGCTGCAGTTATACACTGGACTACCACCTATCGCTGGTCCCTCAAAGGTTGACTGGACTAGAACTCCGCTAAATGTAGTATCGAACTGCACATCCACGATTTGTCCCGGTGAGCCTATTTCAATCAAGCCGATCAGGCTGCTCATGTTATTGATGAACTTGCATCGAGGGGTTGAATTTATCATACCCATCGCTTCCAGTTGTGACGGGAACACTGGAACTGTAGTTCGTCGCTATCCCGATTCCTACTGGTGATACGCGGATCGACTGCCGTGCTAACACTCGATGGCCATGTCGATGGCTGTGGTGAGCCATATCAGCAGGAGCGAGTGAATGTATGGCAATATACAGAAATATACCCCATGTTTGAAGATAGAACATGCTGTATTTTCTAGTTATTCTTCTAACCGAGCGAGGGAAATAACTGAACGGACGACTGGGAACGGTCCTCTTATATACACGTGTATGGGGAACTGAAAACAGGACTAAAGTTGCTTCCCCCGGAGAATGCATTTCACAGATGACTCAAACGACATCTTAGCAAAGAAACACAAGCGGATTAATGTTTGAAGTAGAGAGTTCTAGACTAGTCTCCACCCGAAGTGGCAAAACCCGCAGCAGTGTGTCTACTCACGAAAGCTCTGAAGTCGTTTTAAGCTACTGGAGCCAGCTGGAAGACCCACAATCCATCTTACAATACGGGCACTTCTTAAATGACAACCTTCAAGAATGATCAAATTCTGGAGGTTTAAGTTATCAAATCTTTTACTGGACGAGAAATCACCGTCTATGTAATTGGAATTAGGCTGTTAATTATGGTGACACGCCTTGAACAAACATAGTACGCTTCTGCCACATTAGCGTAAATGTCAAAACAGGATTGGGTCCCTTTTAGCACGATGAGACGCCTCGTTAGAAGAACGCCAATAGAAACTTCGCCTTTGGTATGCCAGAACGAATCGAGGATGGACATTCGGTGGAAGACTCCAACGTGCACTCAACGCCGGATTTTGCCTAATTTAGCGGGTCGAGGTCTCACGAAAGTTGGTAGCTCCACGATTATAGTGACATTCTGTGCTCTACTTGCTAGTGCTATGCTGACGAATGTCAGCGAGAAGGTAGTAAAGATAGAGAAAAAAGTCATTATGATCACACTCTCGAATAAATCATGAGTAATTTAGCTGATAGTTTGATACATAGTTTCAGTAGTGGAGTTGTTCTTCATTTAGACAAGAGAAGCGCACTAGTGTTTCAAGAAAATTTATCAGTATACTATGATCCTATGAAATGAGTTCTAATATGTTTGCATCTCCACATAAGTGGCAAAAAGGAAACCTATTCTGTAAACGTTGTGTTCACAGTTTTGAGAACCTATGATCTGACCGGAATGGTTGCAATGATTGCTTGAGGACATTATATATGAGCGATGACTCTATAGATACGAAATTACTTCAAGGAGGATAATCACAAAATTCAACAGGAGAATTAGGGTAGACCTTTATCTACTTGGGACTCAGAATATGCCTTGCTACACTAGATTATAACTATTTTTTCACAATATACCCTACTTCCTCATAAAGGTTGTGCTATAAGTAGATTAATCCAAGCCCTTCATCCTCTTTAATTCTCTATAGCTATATTCATTCTTGATTTTCACGTTCGTCCGAATCCAGATGACTTCCTCAATAGATAGTCCATTTCAGGAGCAGGAATAGAGTGGACGTACATCGTTTAAGCGTTCTCAGCCGATAATGAGCCGTATGCTGCTGGTCTGACTCAAATGTAAACGCTGACACAAAGGGGCGGAGTGAATCACCATAACCCAAAGCAGAAATTGACTGGTCTCAAGTGCGCCTCGAAGTTTAGCCTGACACGTCCATGCCTGAATTGTCATGGTACAAATTAACTGCGAAACACTACTGGTGCTCTCCTGGCTTTCGTGCCACCAGCTGAAATCCTGATTCGCTATGGCTACCACCGGATTAGGATTTCGGCATCCTGGGATGCTGAAATCCCGGCTCGTACGGCTATAAAGAGGCGCCTGTCCGCCCATCTGCTTTCTCTTCCCTTTATTTCTCTCTCAACTTTGACAATTCCTCAGGGAAGCAAAATTTCTTCAATCATGGACCTCGCTACCGCCAGCCCGCGACAGTGGCTCTATGGGCTCGCCGAGAAACTCCTGAAGCTGGCTGACATGGTGACTGCGCCAGAAATGAAGGGCGTGGAGAGTGTGTCTGAGTTAGATCACCACCTGAGAGACTTGCTGACAGAGCAGTTCCGTGACTCTATCCATCGACTTTGTCAAGATGCACCAGCTGTTGCAGAAGTCATCGCTGCAACAATCCGGGAAAAAATCCCGGATCCGTCTCTTCGTTCATCTTTGAAACGGAAACCGAGACACGATCCATCCTATCGGCCGAGTTACCAAAAGAAGAGGCATCGCGTTGAGTCCGTGGTCCCTGAGACTGTGGTTCTGGAACATGAAACCGAGCATGCGCTGGATCCTGTGGTCCGTGTTGACACGACTGGAAGTAAATCTGAGTCTCGGCGCGAGAGCAGGTCAGACTTCACGCTACTTGCCGCGCATCAAGATGTCCTTGAACCTGAGAATATGTATAGCAGCACAACGCCGATACTCTCGAACCGGGAGCAGACTGTGCCGCCACCTACGCCCCAAAAAGATATCACTAAGGATATGTCTTTCAACGACACACTCTCTGAGATCGTCAACAATGTCAGCCTGCTTAAGAAACACCCAGACGACCTGCCGCGCACCGTCCATCAGAAAATCCTGCAAAGTCTTCACACTGATCAGGGCCCGTTCAGCGAACCCGAAGCCAGTCATTGGTCAGATGGAAAAGCGTGGTTGGAGGTGTTGGAGAAAGGATCGGCCACAAGTCGTCGATGTATCGTCTTCAATATGCTAGAACATATGGGCGCCTCAAAATGGTACGACGGTCAGATTGAGGTAGCAAAGCGAACGGTCCTCACCAAGCAGAAAAAGCCTGTGGATGAGAAAGGGGCAGCAATGCATGTGCTCGGCCGTATCACCAATGAACCTAGCAAAAGAAAAGCCATTAGTAACCAATTCTCTCGAGGGAAGAGGGTGCGCCTGTTGGTCAAGGAACTCGGGCTGGGAATCATCTTGAGCTCCAGTATCTGGTCAGTATCAGGGAGACCATATTATGTTTATATGCTTACCTTGCATTTAGGAAATACACCAAGAGAAAAGAGCCTGAATTTAATCAGCTGCTTCTAAACTTTAAAGCAGACTCTCGATGGATGGCTCTGTTTCAGACTCTTACTCCGCAGTTGGAACTGCTGGTACGTAGTGGCTCGACTGACCCGGAAGCCTTGTACGATTCTTTGGGACAACACCATCTGGTCTCCAATGAAGAGCTTCAGGAATTGATGGTAAAATATGCTTTGGAACACGTGAGAACCCCACCATCTTAACTCCCAGATAGAGCTGACAGTGGCCAGGAATCGCTTTCGGACGGCGCACTGAATGCCGCATATACTCAACTAATCAGTCGGGTCAGTAAGGAGGTATTTAAGAAGCAGACGTTAAGTGACCACGATACATTCATTATCGATCATAGCCTCAAACTACCAGCCGATATCTTTTATGCCTTACGACCCGGGCAATGGCTCGACTGCTGGGTCATCAAGGTAGCTATGCATATAGCAGACCGGCCAGCGTGGGTGCATTTTCGCGAGAGCATTCCGGTGAACGACATCGGAAGGCACGAGCGAATGAGATCAATAAAAAAGCCCTTTAGCGCTTGGGCAAAGGAAATGGTTGAGCTTCGTAGAAAAGCAGAAGGCACTGTCCCCCTAACTTTCTACACTCCCGTCCACCACATAAATTCTCATTTCACGTTACTTGAGATCGATGATGGTGAAAAAGTGATCCGCCATTATGACTCAATGGCAGAGCCGACCGTTATCAACGGCACGGAAAAGACGAAAGTTGCCACTCTGGTTGAGGTATGTTCAGCATTGAAGACGACAGAAGCATTTCTAACAACGTAGTAGGATGAGTTTAATCATTTAGGATACCGCTATATTGAAATGGTAGGCTTATTACTTCGGTTTGGTTGATTGACTGGCAGCTGACTTAGATAGCCTACACCGCAACAGAGCGACAACTGGAGTTGTGGAGCTCGAGTGATATGGGCTTTCAGAAAACGATGCAATGGTTTTGATATCGGGTCGTGGGATACCGTGCTGGATTCCGGACGCATACAGTTAGATATCGTCAACAGTCTTACCGCTTGTATTGATTCGAACGCTATGCAAAAATACAGCCGAAGCCGCGGTTGTCGAGCCACGAATGATGCATCAATGCCAGATTTCCTTGGCGAGGAAAGGTCCAAGCAGGGCTGCGTGGATATGATATGTGTCGATTGAATATACTTTTCGATTCTAGTCCAGAGGGATTCACGTGACTCAAGCCAGCTCGAACCTAGTAGTCTGCACACGTGATCACAGTCGAGTGTCAGACCTAAAATACCGCTTTACCAAAAAGGAGATCCCCTTAATGGGGCGATATTGTAACGGATTGTATGGCTGGTTGTGACGGTCTGTATCACGTGATTTCATGTTCAACATCGAGGCCGGCCAACCAGGGGTACCAAGCTGCGGTCAGGCGCCAAGGAAGCCATTGGCGCCAACGTTCGACGATCACCCTCCACTCAAATAGCAGCTCCGTTTCGTCCTCCAAACAATCTGCTTTCTCAAATGTTTCAGTCATGACTATTCCACATAACCACTCGTTTCCTACTATCTTGTGACTATGAAAAGGAAATTTGACTCTAAGGATGATAGCAGCAATGAGAAAAATTCCGTCAAGCGTCAGTGTCAGCGTAGTTTGTCGGATACGGACCTGAACGAACAACAGAAGCAAATTCAACCACAACCGCCACCATCGCCGCTATCACAAGGTCCCGAAAATCGACTTACTAGTGAGTGCTTTCTCCCATTTTATGACAAGTGGCTGACTCATAAATTAATTGATCTAGGCTGCGAACATACGACGAATGTACCCACGAAATTGTCTTCCGAGCTTGACAACAGAATATTGGATTGGATCGATAAAGTAGATGAGCTACAAGTGGTTGAGTTAGAAGATATGAGCCAGTCTCCGTCCAAGCGGTCGCGATCCGATTCAACCGATACTTATCGTGGCAGGCGCCGATCAATCTCGGAAGCAAGCACGTCGGCCTATAAGGATGTCAGCTATGTTCCAATACTCGAGCAGAAGGGCTGTTTTATGCGTCCGTCGAGAGCTGGTCCCATCGACGAAGATGCCAGGCTATGCGAACAACTCTTCAGCCAGCCGATTGATGTCCCCTCTGGCACTCTTTTCGAGGACAAATATGCCCAAGACTTTCGCAATGCCCTGCAGGGTCGGTCGGAAGCGCTAGTCACGCTACACTTACATTCCCTCCTTATGCCTTCCGCCGAGATTCGATACTTTCGAGAACGGGAAGGATCGGAAAATGTCATTGACGGTTATAACGATCTGTGGTTAAAGACAGAGCCCATTCATGGACCAAAGCCGCAGCCGGATCATGCTTGGGGTTTGAAGTGGTCGACCTTCTCGGAACTACAGCGACAGAAGCTTGGAGTCAAGCCAGATGCAAAGTCGATGTATGCCGTGCGAGATGACATGTATTTTCCTTACTTTGCGGCGGAAGTCAAATGCGGCAACCAAGCGCTGGATTTTGCAGATCGCCAGAACATGCACAGCATGTGCATTGCCCTTCGCGCTATTGTTACACTGGCGCGAGCTGCCGGGTGTCTGGAAGAAGTAAACCAAAGGATTCTTGGATTCTCAATTTCACACGACTCAGAGGACGTGCGAATCTACGCATACTATCCTGAGATTACCGGAGACAAGATTGAATACTACCGGCGGCCGTTATCACGATTCAATATTTGGTCAGAGAAAGATAGATGGGCGTGTTTTCGTTTCGTGGTGAATGTCAACCGTCGATTTCTTCCCATTCATATCAAGCGATTGAATGATCTTTTGGACAAAATCCCCGATGTCCAAGATACTGAATATGAGAACGATGACGAACAGAGAATTGGCTCTCAAGTCTCCGGATCTCGAGAACGACGTGTTAATAGTCGCGCTCCATCGGTGCGGAGTCGAGGGCATGCAGAGCTGCGTAGCACGATCCAAGGTTTACGCGAGGAACACAAGTTGGTCCTCGCTCAACTCGAAGAACAGAGAAGAGAGTTTCTCATTCAAATAGAACAGCTGAAAGCACGAGAATAGAAAATGTTAGATCGATTATTAAGTGAGAAGCCGAAATGAAATTACCATAGGCCTATTGCTAGGGACTCGAAATGACAAATTGACATTGTGTAACTAATCCTTGAATGTATCGCCACTGCTGCTTACAAATAACACTAACACTGATCTTCCGCAACGTGGAGTCGTCGAGATCTACCAACGTACTCTTGCCACATTGGTAAGAATATATGGCTGCCGCGTCATTTGAAAGCACATTCTCGAATCGATGAACTCCTCCACAGACTTCTTGAATTTCCAAGTCTCCAAGACAGAGCATAGCCGCAGTTGTAATCATTCGCGCATGATAAGGGAATCTGAAAATAAGAAATCAATTTTCGCACGGATTAACTATATACCGGTTGGATGCTTGCACTACTACGTATAGTTCCATCTGATTTATAGAGTGGAAAGGTATGATGTTGAGAAGCTTGAGCGCATGATTGACACAAATCCTGTATCTTAAGATGCTATTCAAGATACTGGCTTGCTTAGAAAGTAAAAGTATTTTTCAACAGCTAGGCAATTAAAGGATTAATTTGCAGGAACCTCCCACCCTTCCTCGTAGTTGATTAAGTTTGCAGTTATACATAGTGATAGGTTTATTCACGTACTCTAGTCGCACGCCCCTAGTTGCGAGAGCAATTGATCAGCCTCATCTCTCACAGCATCCATACTCGTGTATTCGCCGTGCCAACACTTCTTGATTATTTTACCCCATTGAAAATCATCAACGTCTGGAAATGAACCCGCTTCAGGCCAACAGAGGTCAGGATTCTCGGGGCTGAAGAAATAGTAATTATAGACATGCCATGATGCAATAGAATAAAGAAGCCAACCAACATGAAGTATCTCAATCCGAACATTCAAGTCATTTTCATTTGCAGAAGTGATGTCGATATCAGGTGGTAATAAAATAGATTGTCCGAAATCTGCAAGTTTAGGTTGCTCATCCAGTATCAAAATATTGCGCAGAGCAATCTCATCCACAAATACATTGTGAGAGTGGACATGTGCGAAAGTGTTAATAAGGCTCAACATCCAGCTAGTTTTCAGACAATCCTCGGGCTCTGGGTAGGTCTCTAGGTACGACTCAAGATCTCCTTGTGCAAGGGCTAGCTCAATCCCATATTGTGATGTTTGAAAAAATGGAATAATCCCCTCAAATCTGCCCAGGCGTTCAAAGACTTGAATCTCATTCGCCAGGGTCTGCTGGTTTATTTTGTTTATATATTCGACATCACCCTCTTGGAGCTCCCCAGGTTCATATTGTTTGGCTTTCTTGACAGCACGGTCCTCCCCCATTTTGAGAATTATCCCCGTCATACCGCTCCCAATTACTGGAAGACCAAGGTAAGGATCATGGAGAGACGAAGAAGGTTGAGAACCGTGAGATTGTCCAAGCACATCTGCCGGGTCTATGTTGTCCATTTGGGATTGAGCACCTTGACTCCGTCCGTCCGTTCGAGAAGCGTGAGCATTAAGACATAATTCGGATTCCGTTTTATTTTTCTGAAGGGAGCGTGTGTTAACGAGCTGTAATCTTGCGATATTTCAAACCGAAGCAAGAGCAACAGAAAACAGAATCAAGCTTACCTTTAACTGGTGCGACTCATTGGTTGCGAAAGGCCAAGTTATATCGTTTAGCCAGATACGGATTATGGAGAATACCATGATCGTTACTGAAGAGAGGAAGAATGTGCAGTGGAATATGCAAGGACAAACGGCGGAACAACTTCGATTGCTTTAGTTAACTAACCCAATTTAGCTATTACTAAGCTCATCTGTGGGGCTATCCACTAGCTTCACCCCATACGGGATAGCGGTAAAGTAATCCTGTCATTAAACCTTCATGACATGGTGATTACAGCGCATGAAGTCACTCGTGCGCTCTCATTGGATATCGACTTGTCTTCGTTACAAGGATTTGCCAAAAATCCCATTGACTGCAAAGTAAGTTAGCGCGCACAGCGATTTTGTTACGAGCTACGCTATATAAGAAAGAAGTTAGGAGGAACGATGGGAGAAAGCGTTCAGGAAATGAGATGATTGGATTGGTGAAGTCACGTGATCAACGATATACTGGAAATTACGAAGTATATCTTAGGGAAGATTATGATTGGATACCGGATTATATACTTGATGGATCTTGGACATCAGAGTACTAGTACCTATAAAGTATATACAAAGTACACGGAACGCGGAGGACTAAACATATTGACATGAGTCACTTGAATACAACAGTGAGAGTCAGCAAGGCATTCTAAATCATACAGACACCAGGCTGCACGAGTAATCTCTTCCATGCTAGTGACATTAACAACCTTCCGAAACATCGATCGACAATTGTCACACGTATCTCGACACACCATTACGTAGTGCTGTTAGAATGAAGATGGATCCAGGCCCATGACACCTGCACTATTATTTGTGGCAGTCTATGCCAGAGGTTGATTCTTTGATAAACACATAATACAATACATTATGTGTCCCATTTTGATTTTCACTCCACCTCAAAGTTAGGAGAATACCTAGTAGCAAAGAAGTAATGAAATATCAACTATTCAAGTACAGAAGATACATTGCAAATGAGTGACCTTTCTCCAATCCTTGATTTGAACCACAAGTTCACACACAAGTTCACTTCTAGAGGTAAACGAAGTCGCACGGCCCCTTCCCAACAATTGCTTGTTAAGAATCTGAATAGCAGGCACCGAACTTGCACCAGTACCCCACCATGCCCAGTATCCATATAACTCTCAAGTGTTATTAGTTCTATCGACAATCGGGACAGAGATGGAGACGGTTCGTGCTTGATGCCTTGGAGGAAGGCTTAGGAGGGTCAGGACAGGATGAAGGGGGTGACCGCTGTAGCGCTGCAGGACATAGATGGACCTTTGGCTCGGGAGGGACATCTTTAGTATGCTTGCACCTGGAGAAGTACACGGGAGCAGGGTTTTCAATATAACACATATTGAAAACTAGTTGATATGACTTCTGATTCCTAGAAATTTGAATTGGCTAAGCATATGATGATTTAAGGGCAACGTACCTACGCAGGTATGAAATATAGATATTTAGATAATGCCCGCAAATTTTGTTTCTTGGTAATTTGCGAATGATTTGGAAAGGATGATTGTTGTCTACTCTAAGATATCTTAGAACCTTTATAGTCTCCGAGATCATCATAGTATTGATTTATTCTGCACTCTAGGCAGACATTCCAAGTATAGCTCCTCGTTTGACAGTCCGATTTAAAACGCCACCTGCCTATTCCCTGTAAAGATTGTGTCGTATGGGGTGGTAATGTCTATATGTGATTCGTCTATGGTATGCATCCTGCACCCGACATGAAGCCATAGAAGTCGGCCTTCGAGATTGTGCTAAGTCCTGTAGACATACTTGTATGCGGCTAGGCCATCTACTTGATTGGTGGGCTACAGATACGAGGTGTGGCTGGCAGTTTGTGCCGATAAAGTGATTGGCTAAGACCGTCCATTAATTACTGTTTTTGGTGCATGAGACGCGTACAGAAAGGGGCCAACAAAACCGCTAACTCCATTGTTTCCATATCTCACCTTTGGGCCAAGATTTACCTGTACCCCGGCTTGAGACCGGTTTCTTGACTGTAACGGTCCATCAAGAGGGAATTAGGCCTACGATTTCATGCTGATAGTTGTGTCTGGGGGAAAAGGATCCGCTTTTAAGCGCCGACACTAGTAACAAGCGGCAAGCACTGTCTCTCGTAGGCAGCAGCGCACAGACTTTCCCGGCTCAGCGCCGAACTTACAGGTTCTTCAATTAGCTGGGAGTCTTAGCGTTGTTCATTTGTTACTTGCTACAGGATGTGCCTTGATGTTGAATCTTTTTGCTTTATAAAATACCATTTTGTATGCGTTTTTGAGGTGGCCGGCTCGTTTACATGGCCGGTTCGCTTACCGATTACGTTACTTGATCTTCATGAAACTAGTTCCTACACTTCGCTAGCGATGATAGGTAATAGACATTGGTGCCATCAGGCACTTGACTTTGTGATTCATTCCGCGAGCTAACCAATCTTATACAACCCATCCACCTTCAGAACCTTCAGAACTTGGAGGAGTTTGGCCGAGGCATGTTGGACAACGGCCCGGAAGATTATCATCCTGGGTATCGACGACTCTATCGAGATCACGAAGTTTGCCGCTTGGTGGTGTACAGTAGGCTTTGTCGGGGCGACTGAACGACGCTTGGCAGCGTTGGATACCAATAACGTATTGATGGCCACAACCATGTAATGTATGTAAGGTTTGATGAGGTTAAGAACAAGCGAATTGTGAAGGAAATTCAAGTTACTTTTATATCTTCCTCTTTCAACACAAGGCCCAAGTGCTTGCAACAGTATCAGAATGTCCGTGCTGCAGATTATAAAATTTTACCAAGCGGTATAAACCATCTGTCCTTTTTAAATAGTTACATTTACTGTTCTGCGTCTAACCTCAATCGTGCAAGTAAATAGAGGTTCTACTGAAGGACAAATGGCAAGACATTGGAAATAGGTAGCGATGTCGGGCAGCCTTGGATGCCCGCCCAAACGATTGCGACCTTACCTAAATGTCAGCTGTCACCGCCTACTTAATTTCTAAACTTAGCCCAGTCAGCCCCGCGCTCGACCCCTCATGCAAAGATAAAAAGGAATATTACCTTGTTTGTCGCAAGTCTGAGCACAACATCGCATACAGCAGTACGTATAACTTCACAAGGTCAAGCTCTTTACTAATTAAGAACACGTTCATATTCTAGCCCGGTAAAACCGGTATGGAGAAACTAGCGGGATTCCTCACCTCCGAAGAAGCGGAATGGCAGCAGTCGCAAGATCTAGACAATTTTATGTGCAACAACAGTGATATCGCAACAAGGCTTGATAGCATACGCAACAATCTTCCACTACCCCTTCAGAACTCGAGAGATTTACGTGCATGGAAAACGACTGGGACGTATAGAATCAAATCAGAAGGGGGCTTTATATTACCAGTGAAGATAATTAGCGGCGAGCCTAAGATAATCGATGGTGCAACAACAAAGGCACTTACCGTCAACTCAGAGCCCACCTCATTTAAAAAAGGCGACATTATTTCCGGCAACCTTTATTACATTGCTGGATCGTCATAATCATGGAAGACTGATATGAGAAGGAAGAGCTGAGCTTGTACTCAGCATTGGAAATAGGTCAAACTCAGGGAGTTGTGGTAAAACATCAAAGTTTGGAAGGCTAGAAGAATCCAACAGAGAAGAGGATTGTGGAAAAAGATCAAATTCAGGAATTTGTGGGAATAGTTCGAATTCCGGAGGTTGGAAATCATCCAGCGCTGGAGTCGAGTCTCTTGGTAGATCTCCTTGAGTAATGTTATCGTGAAGAGACGTTCCAGATTCCACTTGCTTTCTTGTTTCCTGTAGATTGCTCAGCTGCTGCCAGTCTAAATTCGAAACACCCGGCTGAAAGACGTGATCAGTTGCTGAGGAATACTGATGTTGTCTACTGGATAGTTGCTCCTCACTCATAGTAGGGATTGGATCGGAAGCTACCTGCTGGTTGCGGAAAGTGGAAGGAAGCAAGTCAGCCTGTCCAGCCGACAACCCATTATTGACTGGCCGAATTCGCGAGTTGCAACCCGCTGCTAAGCTTGAAATCCAATAACGAGAAGCTTCGCTAGACATCGAATTAACGGAAGACCTTTCCGATGACATTATATTGCTCCCATCATCAACTTCTGATGTGGTCTCGGCGGCTTCAGTACTCGAAGTTGTACTACCGGCAACGTTCGCCGAAGGATTGTATGACCTTTGCGCTTCTGCGGCCGAGTCATAAGCAATTCTTCTGTAAGCAGGTAGAGACCGCTCATTGGCCGATAGGTTTGGTCGACCGTCTCGGATATTCCACAGGGCCAAAGCTACCTCTTCGGCTGATGGTTCAGATTGGCGAGCTCCAATATTGTCGTTATTTGTATTTGCTACTCTTTTTGACCTAGGCGTGTTCTGACTATTTTCATTAGACCTCTTCCGTGTCTGAGAGGACTGGTTTTTGACGCGACGTTTTTCAACTCGAGTGGTACGTGTCGATTGTTGTGTACCCACATTTGCAGACGAAATAAGAATTAAACGGCAGTCATTGAGCCTATCAATCGTACTCTGGACGATTGCATCCACCACATTATGAGCATCAATCCCGTTGAAAGTCTGCGCAGCGGCACGAGGAATGGATCCAGCGAGGACGCCGATAACAGCAAACGCTGATTGTTGCGTTGGGTTGTAATATTTCTCGTAGCTATGATGAAGCTTTAGTAGCCTTTCGCCTTCATACAATAGATACACCTACTTTGTGCGACCGATATCTGGGAGATAGATCAGACTACCATATCCACCAAGCTTGAGCGATAGATCTCGGTACTTCCCTCCGGCTTCCAGCCAACGGCGCATGTTTTTATTCAGATAGGAGAGCTTTCCGGTTGAAACAAGCCCATTGGATTGAAAACATTTTGTGATCTCAGTATCATCAGTGGTACCTTGACAGACAACATCTTTCACAACGGTAATAGCCAGCAACGAAAGTCTCCAATGTACTGAGCTGAGAATAAGTTCGGTATCATCACTTTCAATCCCGTCAATTAACCCATCTAATGGTAGAGTATTATGAGGGTCGACGGTAGTCCTGGCTTGACGCGCACAAAAATCTTCGTGTGTTTCTTTCCAACTCCAAATTACCTCCCTGTGACGCTCATTGATGCTAATGTCTTTTGCCGTTTTCTGCAATTGTGAGAATAGTCTGTTCTCACCAGATTTCTTCCATTCGGCTGGTACCACTTTCAGCAACTTTTGGAAATCAGATGCCAGAACCTTCGAGCTTCATTAGCGATGTTCAGCCTGACACAATTCAAGTCCTTACCTTATCGTTACTGATAATTCTGTCTGCTCCCTCCCCGAGATCTTCAATTTTGCTTGCGAGCGCCCGCAGACTTTGGATAATATTTTCCGCCATGTTTTGTCAGTTGAAAGAATTTTGACCGCCAGCGCTATTGTGAAATCGTCTCTTCTGAACGMTTTACCAGAATAGGCCGAAAATCGCACATGTGCGATTTTCGGCCTATTCTGGTAAAGCGCTCAATCCTAGGAAGCTGCATGTAGGGTGTGATTGCTAGGCGCTTAGTTGCATAAGGGCAGTGCATCTGACAAGGTTCTGGCTGGCGCTAGTTGAGGACAGTGCTGGAGCACGCCCCTACATATTATACAGGACTCGTGGGGTATTAATTACCGTGGACTTTTGCATAGGACTAATTATGATCTTACAGGTTGTGATCAGGACCAACACTCGACATTCTATGCACAATTTCAACTATCGGCTATACTGCATGTTTGGTGCATTATGAACGAAATTTATCACCTGTTCGATTTGTAGGAATACCAGTGCCGTATACTCAGAAGACGTGATAGGACTAGATAAGGACAATGATGGAGCAGATCATAGCTTCCACCTGAAGGTGGATGATGTATGCATGATCCATCTATATTGTATATAGACGTCAGCCTTGTCCTACTGTCACCGCAACTTGACAGACACAATCAAGCTTCTTAACGATCTCGAGCTCAACCCTTTTCCAGTCAATAAATTTTCAATCACTACGGACGCTGCATGCCCCTTGAGCGATCACTGATCTTGCTTCACCCTGCATATCCCGAACATGGATGTCGAACCTCCGGTCTCGTTAGATCACTGGAAAGCGTTAGAGGCCTGGCCGCCTGGGGACAGTCTAGACAATGGGGTGGAACACTCAGAGGATTTATTCTGCCACAATATTACAGAAAAACTGCCGCCTGAAGATCTGGATTTGGAGAGACAGTGCACGGGACCTGGCGACACGACGCCGACTTGGTGGAGACGGATATGGGAAAGAATTCTTTCCCTGATTTTCAAAACCGAAGCGTCAGCGGCTCTGTCTAGAGCTGATAGCAACTTGTCGTCAACGCCCAATACGAGAGTCCACTCCAATCAACCAACCATCCAGCCCCTGCAGTCAGATTCGGTGGAGCCATGGGCAATCTATACCGCAGGTCTTACGCGAGCCAAACCTGATTCAGAGAGTATACGCACTTTCAAAGAGACGACCAGAGTCCGCTCACCCCAGCCTCCGCCTCTGCCTCCGCCAACACCAGATACTCTCGATCCTTGTCAAGACGATCTGTTGAGTGACTGCGATTTGAAAGACCTATTTTCATCGATTCAAAGTGCAAGCCCCGTTTCTCCACCGGTGTCATCCTCCACTAAGTCATTTGCAAGAGAGCGAGACTCAATAGCAATTCCACCATCTTTGTACCACCCGCACCCTGATTTCTGTGGTTTGAATGTATTTAGATAATATATAAACTCGATTCCCCTCTATTCTTTCGAGCATCTATCCTCTGACAGAAACTCGGGGTTAATTGCATTCCACGAAGACTGGGTCCCACTGGGTGAACAGTACGTTTCTCAGCTTTTCCAGTCTTGCTTCGATCGCAAAGACTCGTTTGTACCTTCGTCTATTGATCATAAACGCTCGCTTCTCCATTACAAATTCATACGAAAGTCCCAATGTCTACACCAGTGGTACATGTCAGTTTTTCCCTCTCTCTTCTGCGGGTGCGGCACTAAAACATGCACAGCTTCTCAGGCTTTCGCCCTTCACCGAAGGTGAATGTATTACGGATGTGGATCTGCGCCGAAGAAACCCCGAAAAGTGGGTTTCTGAAAATGCCGCACGTGTCACAACCTGGCTACAAAAATATGGATTCGACTGTCACCCAGTAGTGCCAGTAGGATGTGGCTGGKATTGCCTTTTTGATCTCAACGGAGAGACAATAATGAGGCTTATGGAAGCAGGAACTTGCGAGCCCTTCAGTATAGAATTACCCTTTCTCGATTATATGAAAGTTCAACCAGAATTGGAATTCAAGGTTGTCCAGTTGATGGAGTTACGTCTGTGCTTATCACTTTCCGAGCAGCGTGCCAAAGAAATTGATCCAAAGGTACTCCGCTTTCGAGACTATTTGCAAGCCGAGACGAAGATGGAAATGGCGAAGATGGAAATGATGAAAGAAGTACAATTAACGAAATAGGGGGGTGGGTCAACCGGTTGTGCGTTGAGCACTAGCATGCCAGTGTTTTGTGTATCTAACTCGATGGGCTACTCCACAATCTTAGATGGTCCATATGATAACTACAATTTCCTAGTCGCACATCCAGTTTACCACTTTGATAATCAGACATCTGGATTGATATCACATATATCTATAAATACTACTCAAAAAGCTGTCGTTTGCACCCATCAACGCAACAGATCCCCTCGCATCTTGTCTGACGCGCCGACGTAACTACAGATAAAGATGGAGACGGATTCTCAGATACAAGTAGGTACTCTACAAGGACTTCAAGGGCTACTAGTAACTCGAATATAAAAAATGGCAATCCTTTTTCGTCGGGTGATCCTGGACATTTTTGAGAAAATGCTAAAAATTGTGAACGAACTCAAATTGGGGAGACGCTTGATTTTGGAATTTCTTTCCTTGCCACCTGACGATAATAACGTGATGGAGGGCGGGGAATATCATGTGCTCTTGGGAGTTCATAGAATTTGGCTTGATAAAAAAGAACGTCATTGGGGAATCAGAAGAATGGAATCCTAAATTATTCTAGGAGGCAGACTCTACCTTTATTTTTCTATCTTTGTTTCGTTGCTAAATATGCCTCGAGTATACTCGAATCAAGCTGTCATATTATCTCTCGCTTAAACCAGGAGAGACTAAATTAGATGGAACCAGACTATTACTTGACGCTCTGGGATAAACGTCCGAATCGTGGACATGGCGTATCCCTGACCGATATATAAAAGAAATGAGTACACCACGCATACATGGTACATAATGCAGTCCAAATTCGAATTGATCTGTCGAAACTTCAACACGCGCGACCATGGCAGGTATCCAAGTCAAGACTGTTATTGAATTAGAAATCTCTCAGGGGGAGCTTAGCCGCCCAGTCAAGTCTGTAAAATGCGAGACACGTAGGTGACGCTCACTTGTCCAATCAATCTCTGCTGATGATTATCACAGGAAACACCGAATACTACCGGAAGAGAACGATCCTCTCACGTATCCGTACATTCATCGACGCCTTGACTCAAAGACGACCCGTCGATACACACGCCGCTAAATTTGATGTCGAGAAAGCGACGCCGCCCCTGAATCAAGCGACCCAATGCAAACCTAGGCCCGCCCGGATTATTCTGCCAGTTCTTTGCTGGTGCAGCCAGCTTGTTTCCGCATGATACGGTTCACTATGTACTACTATTCCTAGCTTACTATACTGTGAATGATTGAGATAGCCGAACTGTCTACTATTTAGCCGCTTATATCGCCTGAGCTGTACATGTCTTCTTCACCTGAATATGTGTATTAGTTCGACTTAACTCGTCCTGAAAAACTGTTCGTGAGACATATCAACAGATTTGACGCCATGACAACCCCTGAAAGAGTGATGCGTATAGAATATATCAGTCAGGATACAGATGATAACACACGAGACGATTCCATAGTCGATCATGAGAGCGAGACAACAGAGAACAAACAGCTTCGGTGAGTTTTGACATTTTGCGACACGGAAATTGCGGAAGTTTGATTGACCGACCATGTAACACAAAGGGAAGAGATCAAGTTCTGGAAACAGCAATTTGCGACTCTAGCGCAGGTATCTTACAATCATGCCGAGACGAATCGCAATCTAATTCAAGGAATACGCCTCCGTGAAAGTCAAAGTGACATACCACAACTCCAGCTGGACAAGACTGACGTCAAAAACCGGGGATCGATATGGTCACTTGCCGACGATATGAAACTCCGTATCCACAAAAAACTATGCAATGATTGGAACGAAGTGAGCAATCACCTCAACCACACTCCCCAAGAATGTGAGCAACGATACGAGATACTGGCCGCGACGCCATCGTCCAAGGAGGACCAAGCAGCACGTGCTTTAGCACATACGTACGAAAGGTAAGTTTGCCTCCGGCTGATCATCCTTTCAACTCATACTGACTTTAACTCAGGTTCAAAAAATCGTTCTGGCAACTGATCGGTGCTGAAGTGGGTCTTTCTCTAGATGTGGCTGAAGCGACATTTTGGATGTTAGGAAGGCAGGGGCTCATCGAACTAACTCAATAGATAAAATAGCGGTAAACAAGACGTATCTTGGACTGGAATTAATTCAGTGCTATGTTTTGAAATAGAATCTAACAGGCTGTTTCTCCACCATTCCTTGTCTGCGCGGCATGTATATCGCTTCGCTTATACTACTGTAGGAAAAATCTGAATGACCAAGAAGAGCCTTACCGGTACCGCCGACGGGTCCTGAGTTGCTTGGGAAGGTTACCAGCTAGTTGAATGCTATTTTTCGAATGACATATGTGGTTCAACAATTAGTTTCCTAGACGTGACTATCTGACTTGCGATGAACTAGTTTGACTGAAATGTATGGATGACAGTCAAAAATATTACCTAGAGCCGAAGTATAAAGGCTTGTCTTCCCCTCGATGCTGCTGGCGGCTTAGATGTCATCTGACAAAACCACGTGACTAGTCTTACATAATCTTACCCTCAATCAGTCGTCCCACGTTCCCCGCTTCAACATGACTAGCAATTCCATCGACCCCCAATTGTTGAACATTCCCATGAATAAAATTACAGGTCACACCAGGCTTCATCGGGAAGAGCCGCCCGATGATCTTATCAGAAATGTTGAAGGATGGTTCACTAGCGCACCAAAAAAGCAGGAGGCCAACCTGCAATGGGCTCGGGCTAGCTATGGTACTACCGAGGACAAATTACTTCAGGAATTCCTCAATCACGGCAATATCGTAAGCTCTTTTCTCCATGAGACTAGACCCATGGCTGACCTCCGTAGGTGGCAACGAACGTCGATGCCCTTCTGGGCTCTGAAAGCTGTGCGGGTCTTCCGGTAATGGTTCATTATCTGCCGAATGTTTCCCATGACGGTTTGTCCAGCCGGGTTACACCCTATTGGATCGCTCCTCAGGTATATGACAATGCATACCTCCTGATTCGACCATTGCGCAAGACGATCCATCTGCCGATCTATAACACGTACCCAAATAAGTTGATAACAGAGGTCTCCAATGCAGATATACGATGGGAAGGGACATCGCCGAGCCAGATCTCACTTTACCCGTTTCGGACCAAGATTTCTCTTCCCTGGCGGGAAGAGACTATTTTTGTTTGCCAGATGTACTCTACAAGCGGTGAAAGCCCCGCAGCAGATAGAGATCGAGATGTAATTCCTTTTATGACTAGTGGATTGGGATTGATTGGAGAGGAATAGGACTCCCCTAGTTGTTTTTCTCAATGCATGGACCGAGTGGATATGATCCTGGTACGCCTCAGCTGAGCGCGGATGACAAATTGAAGGCTCTCTTGACACTGCTGTTGAGACCTGTGGCAGTCCTTCGCTAGTTTAAGCACTTCAGTATATCGTGACCGAAGAGGACCGCTGACGGTCTGGATTTCTCTGACGGTCTGGATTTCTCTGTAGCTTATTCGACTAAAATGTGTTACCACAGGGGCAGCCACAATCTGGATCCCTGGCTCTCCGAGCCAATGGCCAAAACTTTGCATCTTACACCCCCTCGCAATGCAACGCTCCATAGTGGGCCCGTCCAGACGATGTACTTTGCAATACGTTGGAATCAGACCCTTGAAGGACTCCTCTGGGTTCAGAACTCTTTCAAGATGATTGATTGCAGACTCACCACAGGCATTTGTGTGGTAAAGTATGTACAAAACATGCAGGACACGATCCATCAAACTAGGCTTCCTGCGCATAGAACAGAACCATAATCGTGGATCGCGATTGTCGCGGGACTTTTCGATGTGATCAAGCATACAAGCTACAATGTCGCGGGATTGGAGCTCTCTCATGTGGATCATTTCTTCTTTGATGCTGTCTAGCAAGGCTGTGGCTGTAATCATGGAGGGAGGAGTCGGAGTCTCGTCTCGTAGAGGGCCAATAGAGGGATTGGAAAGGGTCTCGTCTCGTAGAGGGCCAATAGAGGGATTGGAAAGGGTCTCGTC